ATGTTCTGCCAGAGATTCAGAGGAGCAGAATTTTTTTTATTTTGGGTATAAAAATGGAAACTGGCTTGCTTCAGTCTGTCTGCTATTAGCAATGAAATGCTCCCTGTGACAGTTACTTAAAATATATCTCAGTTTCTATTAGTTTGTCTTTTAAGGTATGTCCAATTGCTTAGTTGTGTTTTATTCTACATTAGCCTAGGATTTTTCTGAAGTTTAATAATCCAAAACAGTAGAGGAATGATAGGATCATGTAATCAGAGATTCCCATCTAATACAGAATCCCTATTAAAAGAAGTTAAACCATTAAATATATAACACTATAAGCCTGTTTCAGTGCTTATAACAGCTTTCTTTTCTTCGTTCACATGTTTAGAGAAAACAAATACATTCAGTGCCTTCAGTACGGAGAGATAATTATGTATTTGATATACTTATTCATTCATTCAGTGTTTAACGTGTGTTTTGCCCACCATGAGCAAAGATGGTTAGCTTGCAGTGATTTGGGTGAGTTTTTAAAACAGTCGTACTGTTGGAGTATTGATAACTTCCTTACACAGACATATTTCTACCATACCCAGACACTCTTTAAAAGGAAAATTAATTTTTTTTTCCACAGCAATTTCAAAGATAATTATCCTGCACACATTAAAGAAGGATGAAGTGTTTTAAAGAACTGTAATTCTAATTGGTAAATGTCACCAGCTGTTGCAGTTACTCTTACTTGTGTATTTTCTTTTAATGATTACACTCCTGTGCCACAAGCTACATGAAAATATATTCACTAGGTGTGAAATTCCCATATGTCACAGCTTCAAGACTAAGTAAACATCTCAAAGATAAGGGGAGCTGATAGGAAACATTTTTCTAGCTTTGGCTGTCTGCATGACAAACATTTTTTTAATTGAACTTAGAAAAAGTTGTGTGAATTGGAGAACCATTAGGTTTTAGCACCCAACCCATTCTATGATTCAGTGTAAGATCCATTTCTACATTTGAATACATCTCCAAGAACTATAATGAGCCTTCCATTTTATAGATTATCTCCTTCACCCACCTCCCAAGATTTCCAAGTATTTTCCCATTATGTCTCCAAGTTAAAACTAGTCCAGCTCCTACAAATTGCCTATCAAGTTTTACAAAGTGCATAAGGTTTCAATGCTGGTTGTATCCTTTTATACCATCAGAAATTAGTATACTAAGGGAATATATGGAGTATTCTGGTTTAGATCTCCTAAATCTCTTGGTGATTTAGTTTAATTCCAAAACATTTCTCTCACATTTTAGTGAAGAAGGCACATTTTTATGAATGAAATGTATTGATTTCTGAGAATCAGGTTTTCCAACAGAGAATGGTTTTATCTATTGTAAACTCATATTTTTATTTCTGTGCTTAGGATCAAGGTGTATAACTCAGATGTAAATATAAATGGTCCTGCTTTCCTCTTAAGACTTTCATGTAGGCATGTATGTATGTGATAAGTTTTGAAATGAGCTTTCATTGCCTGTGGAATGAGTAATCTAAGTGTGGAGGAGACATTTCGGTTTTTCAGTGTGAGTTTTGGAGATGCTAGGAATGTTAAACCAGGCCATTGTTCCACATTTAACTGTTACTTCCAAGAAAAGCCATTGATGCACATGTATAAATGAAAATCTTCTTATTTTGGATCATATTCCTATATCTGTCCATGGTAGATTCTGGGAAAAAAGAGATGAAACTCATGACCCAGGAGGTTTCACTCACTGCAGTTTTGAGGGGAGAATGCTCTCATCCTAATATTGTAATGGCAGTTTCTGGACAGGTATCAGTTTGGGCATGTTGCATCTTTCCTTCCCTTTTGTGCTCAGACATGTACAATATAATACATTGCATACATGATAATAAGGAATAAGAAAAAAGTTATCCACGTGTAGACTAAAAAGGAAGTCTTAATATAAAATTATATATAAATATTTTACCTACACAAGCAGGTTTATGCATAAATACGCTTAATATTTTATTCTTAGAGCTTTGTATGTATGCTGTTTTCAGACAGTAACAGGTTCTGAGAAATAGAGATGATTTATACCTGGGAATTCAGGGAGTGGGTATAGCTGCTTTCATCCTCCTTCCCTGGAGCTGTTAATTATTCTGTACAGTCAGTCATAGACAAATCCGAATCCTTTAGAAGGAGCTTTGTGCTAAGGCTCACTGTGAAGTATTTTAAAAATTTGCCTTCTTTTGCATGCCATGAGCTTTAAAAATTATCACTTGGGAGCAAGTGATACCTTTACAAACTTGCTCACACAGAGGTTATTTACAGAAGACTTTCCAAAGTGTTCACGTTCATTTTTGGTTCCTGTTAGAGCAAGGTGAACTCCTGACCAGCTCTGCACATACTGCCAGAAAAGGAGACATTGCAGGCTTTAGTGTGGAAGACCATTTTGTGGCTACAGAGGTCCAGAAGTCCCAGCTGGGCAGGAGACACCAGTTTCAGCAACCACTCTGCCTGGCCTGACATAGTATCACATACGTGCACCGTATCCTAGCCTGTCCCATGTTTAGGAGTGCAGTACAAAAATTACACCTACTCTGCTGTTCGTACAGAACAACATGGTTCTGTCCAAGAAGGGAAACATTTCAGCCCTTGCTCCTTCCCTACTCATCTCGAGCTGATTACGCCAATGCAACAGTTTCAGAAAAAGAGGGCTACTAGCCTACTCTCTCATACCAACCTTTTTATGCCGTTGCCGTCAGGGAAATGCTTGAACTTAGTTTGGATCAGAATTAGTAGCAGCTAACCTCAAATGCAAAATACAGTTGTAGGTTGGAAGCAAATCACAGCAAATCCAAGGCAATGCAAAAGGAACTGATTTTTTTTTTTTAACTATTTTCTGAATGTGATAGCAGGATCTGCACTTTGAGGGTGGACTAGCTATGGGAGACTCACTATCGACAAAGGAAAATGTCCAAGTATGCCATTGACATTACCAGAGCCCAGACTTCATTCTGTTACATAAAGCAACGTAGATTTATGACTCAAAGCATTCATAAATCGTAGCAAGCAAACCCTCCTGAACCTGGTAACTAACCCAAAATTCACAGCAGATTTAGTAAATATAGTTTATATGAGCATTGTAACATATAGTCTGTTTTCATTACGAGTAACTATAACTTCTTATAAGGTCTCGGTTGTTGAGTCGTCTTTCTCTTTCTCTTTCCGCTACTTTCTCCCCTTACTTTGTGTCTCCACAGAAACCAGGAATGGATCTAGCTGATACCTACATTATGTTTGTTCGACAAAACCAGGATATACTTCGAGAAAAAGTCAACGAGGAAATGTACATAGAGAAGTTATTTGATGTAAGTAACTACCCTTGCAAAGCTTGCTGATATCACTACCACATCAGAAGGGATAAGCTGCAATTTGATGATATTCAGCAACCCGTTCTGATGTTCTTCCCTGGTTTTGCTTTTGCTTTTTATCATCGTCAGCTGTCAAGGGTGGACTTTCCTTAAACATTTTCTGCATGAAAATTTTAAGTGCTAGAAAGCATAAATAAAATTCGTAGAAGATTGTTATTTGAAATAGTCATTTTTTCCACTGTGAGTAGTCCAATTTTATTCCGTCTTTTGATTCTGAATGTGTTAATGGTGAGAATTGGATTGGTGTGGTTTGTGGACTTCAGTGCAGAATTAATTTCCCTAAATAAAGAACTTGTACGTATCACTGCCTGCTCGTATACAGAAAGAGGCCAGTTGTGCCAGGTGCATCTACTGGTTTGACTGGTACATTCATGGACTGACTTTTAGAATTCTGTTTTATGGCATTTCCAGTTTAAGCCTTCTAAGATCCTAAAAGTTGATCAAATATTTATTGAATTGTCAAACTTTTTTCCCAAATTTTGATCCCACTTTTTCAACATCACAATAATTGTCTTGCTCATCTTCAAGGCCTGCACAGTGCTAGCCAGCCTGTATCTGTCCAATAATTTCCCTCAGCTTCTGTACTGGCTTCTGCAGCCTCACTCCTTTGCCATAATTCCTTCTCTTTTTGGTAGAAACAATCGCCTACTCTACCAAAATCTTCCTCTCCTTTAAGGCCACTAGCAACACTCTTGGGCATATTTCTGCTCATTCAAGCTCTGACCAGCCTTTCCAAGTTGTCTGAAGGAGAAGCTATAGGCAGGTAAAATTCTATGCTTTGTATAAATTCAAAGCACTACACATGTAAAGTATAATTAAGATAAAAGTTACTGTATTATCAACTCGGACAATTTACATGACAGTGACGTCGGTCACTTATAATTGCTTAGGAATTTGAGCATGGAAAGAAGTTATCTCTGGCTCTGTGCAATGCAATTCATTACAAAACAAATTCTGGAGCATAATGCACACTTTGAAATGTATTTATTTGTGTGGCATCTAAGTATTTTAGAAAGCTTTGCTAGCAGTTTCATTTAATTATGCAAGTTAGAGCAAATGTTTTCATAACAGCAATTCACAGCCTGTACTGTGACACTACAGTTGTGGCAGTCACAGAAGGGCCCATAACATAGACTCTCAGCCATGGTATGTCATGTCAGTGTTTGTTGTTTGTTAGACTGGGTGGTCAAAATGAGACTTATCTCTCAGATTTTATATTTCCAGACACTCCCAGGCAGCTTTACAAAAAAAAAGTATCATCTGTTTTAATAAGCTAAGTGCTAATATGTGTGAAAAGAATGATTTTATAAAAGCTTTGATGCCCTGCAGGGGTAGAAAAATTATCATCCATCCAGCTGGCACCTTCACAAAGTACTAAAACCGTATTAGCAACTTCTGCTTCAGTTTGCTTTTGCACTGAATCTGCAAGCATATGTTTCATTTTCAAGTTTCCATTTTTTTGTTTTTCTTTGGGGTTATTTTTGCTTATGCTGTAATTTTCTGAATGATAATAAAATTATGTTCCTAAGGCCAAATCCACCTCTCACTGGAGAGACCCATTGACTTTGTTGATGTAGGGGGATTGGACCAAGCCTTAGGCTATGTCCATAGCAGTAAACTGGACGGGGCCTGGGCACAGGCCTGAGAACTTGGAAGTGATCCTCCATACCATTAAGTCATCAGCATGGTTCCTGTCATGATTTCGAGTTTAGCTAACTAACACTAGCCTGAGGACAGAGCTTCAGTACAATGGGGTTCACATGGGTCAAGGACTTCTCCCAAGTTTCGTTTCAGCAAACGATCTTTTCAGCCCAAGAAAACATCTGCTATATGGATGCTCGACATGGCACAGCGCTTGTCTTTGAGACACAAAACCATTCCTGTCCCCTTTTACTCAGTGGTATGCATTGTATGCTGTCATGGCCAGTGCTTATAGCTGTAAGGAAAGAAAAAATACGTATGTGATAAGTATTCTGTGTTTTGAGTATCTCTTCATATCTTTATTTTTGTTGATACATGGTGGTATCACATCTCTACGTAACATCACATTAGGAGCTATAGCCCATTGGACAGAATCAGATAAATGCACTAACAAATACGTAAGCTCATAGCATGCAGAAATTTAACACAGAGGCATCTCACTGCTTTAACTCACCTTCCCTGAGATTAATTCAAATTTAAAACAGTATGATTCAGCACAATTTTGCTCATTATTTTTGGAAGGGTTTTATTCAATTAGTGATATAACTAAATCTAGGTACTGTTTATGTGAAGTTATATTTCAGTAGAAAGCATAAAATATGTTTGAGTTTTTATGTAAATATTCTTCAGGCCATTTGACTGGCTATAGTTGTAGATCACTATTGGTTTCCCCTTAAAACGCATAGGATTTGTATCAGATAAGCAATCATCAGCCAAGTGAAATAGGAAAAGTGCACATCTGTGTTTCAGACAGGGAAATACCTTATCCAGAATAACCAAAAAAAAATGCAGACTGTTCTGTGTGCTACAAGTGCTACTTATAAATGTAGATAAGATCAGGCCTCGGACACTATTTTAGTCCTCCAAAATGTATAATTACAAATTATTTAAGTGCAGATTTCATTGACTTGAATCAGGGATGCTATATACTAACAGCTATTACAGTGACCAAGAGAATGGGGCGGGTGTCTGTCATATGAAGTAATGTATCTCTTAAAGATCATTTAAATCTAAGTATTGATACAAGTAGAAATGTCTGCCAGTGGGTCACAACATGTTAAGCCTGGAAGTTGGAAAATTTTCTGTTTATCTGAGAAGTCTCAAACGAGGGAGAAGACAAAAATTGTGCATTGTTTTATGGTGCTGGAAAAGCACTGCCGTGCTATACAAAATGTGACAAGTCAGGAGAATGGAATTTAAGCCTGTGATATGAATCCATACATCTCCAGGGGACTTTGAAAGACTGGGCTGCTAGTTTTTTCTGCACCACTTTTAAACCATTTAAATCCTGTGCTTCAGTATCTGTGGTGATCATGCAGCAGAACCAGGGTGGTTATTTTTTTTTTTCCTGTTTTATGAATAACTTGGCTTCTGGGTGCATTTCACTTTTCTCCTCCTCTGGAAGGAGTAGAGACAGCATGCAGAACAATATGGCTTGTTGCTCCTGGTAGCACTAGCTTCTCCCAGGACAGTGTGCTGTCTTCTTGCTCTAAAAATTAAATCACCAGATTTGGAGTCACAAAGAGCTTTCGCTTGGTCAGTCTGTCAGAGACACTTAGGACTTTTTGTCTTCCTTTACAGTGTGGGACATGGTCTTCTTCCTAAGGTCAGCTGGGAATTTGACCTATCAAATAGGTTCCTGTCAGAGGAACTCAGGGCATCTCTCTCCTACTCTCATGCTGTACCAGATTATGGTTGGGGGTTTTGCTTGTTTGCTTACTTGCTTGTTTGTTTGTGTTTAAAGCTGCAGATCTTAAAGAGCACTAGAAAGGTTTTGTAATGCGTGGATTACCATGTGGATGGTCTGCAGTAGCTCTAGGCTACCTGTCTGCTCCACCTTCATGATTTCCATAAACTTAATTCAGTGAATAATCCATGTGATTCCTTCCAATCCCATACTCCACTGAAGGTAACCTAAGACAATGAAGTTACATTGGGATGAGTTTCCCTCATAAACTCAAATAAAACAAACTTTTTCTACCATTAATGCTGCAGTGACTCAGGTAGATTCAATGTGTGACAACTAAATCATGGAGACAGACACTTCTGTGTTTGTTTATTGATTAGAGTTCTTAATTATGATTAAAAGCATCCCCTGCTGAAACTTTTTCACTTAAAATCAAGGTTTAATCACTTAAACCAAAAACTTGGGGTTTTTTAAATAGTTTAATAAAATGTTTTCAAAACAAATTTGTACTTTAATGATTTAAATTTTTAAACCAGTGTTTGAAAAATACTGATTTTCAGAAAACTCTGTAAGTGTAGAAGTTGATTAATTGGAAAAATAAATAATTAATTGGAATTACACAAACCAAGGATAAATCTAAAATATTACTATTAATAAGTTCCCTCATATTTATAACCTTGTTGATGGATGGCATACAAACATTTGTGCAGCCTCTCAAAGAACAGTGTGGTGTTTCTCATCACTACCAGACATAAAAAATACCCAACTGTAAGATTTCCATGGCTTCTGGTTCTACACGAGCAAAATTAATGGGAGTTATTTATGAACCATTAAATTCAATAAAGCAGTGCTGTATCTATAAATATGCCAGGTTATGATCACGTACTAGACTTAGAATCACATTTCCACCTGGATTTTTAAGATGGGACTGGTAAGTCTCCCTACTCCTGAGCATTTTAAATGAGACTTATAAATTTAAAATTGTTTCTTTTAAAACAAACAAAGATTGTTTGCATAAACACTGAGTAAAACATCGTAACATATCATAAAAACTTACTTTCTGTAGTAAAGTTCCTAAGTGGCACTTGGGTAGATTCACACTTTCTTGTACCTGTTAATTGCACGTGAAGTATGGATATTCTTGTCTGAACACAGAAAAATCTCGTTAAAAATGTTTTCCCTTCAAAATAATCCTGGTTTATTTGCCATTAAGAGCATTGTCTTACAGGTTATATTTGTGTTGAGTCCATTGTGAAAAACTTACAGTGTAAACAGATGTACAATTCTAATTTTATTAAGAGTATATGTGCAATGAAATCTTTATGCAATAATTGATTGCTGCATTGAGAAATAAAGAATGGCTTAAGAGAACAGTTCTAACACATTAGTGGTTTACCATTGATACAACTTCAAGGTTTTCCAATAATTTAGGCTCTAATTTCTGGGAAACCTGTGCACAGGCGTACCAAAAATACATGAAGTAGTCAAAGTGTGTATCCTGGAAAGGTTGGCATTGGCAAACAGGTCTCTTTGTTAACCTGTACGAGAT